GTTTATCTATTTGTGCGTCCTGGGGCCCCTTCACAACTTGGGAGGCCTCCAGAAAAGAGCTCCCAGGACGGCTGGAGGACTGCCGAGCCTCCTCCCGAGAAGGCTCGCCCGCTCCGCCTCCCCCCCCGCGGGGCTGGCCGCCAAGGGGGGGGGGCCAAGCGCCGACCCGAGAGATCCGCGCGGACCTCCGGACGTTCCCCAATCAGCGCTTGCATTAAGTCGGGCCTGTCCCCCTCCAGGGGGATGTATGTCCGCGGCAAAAAAGGAGAAAAAACAAAAGAGGAAAAAAGGGAGAAAAAAAAAGGGGGAACAAAAAGGAAAAAGAAAGAGAAAAGAGAGAAACAAGAGAAAAAGAGAGGAAAAAGAGAAACAACAAAAAACAGTGGGATTTTCGATGGGAATAAAAATACCCCCATAATAATCAAAACATACTCCAACAATAGTCTGGGGAGTATTTTTGATGTTTAAAAAAAAAGAGATATTTTTTGTTCGTCGAAAATCCCCCTGTAGGGGAACACGCCCGACATAGTGCTTGCACCGAAGGGGTCCTATATCGGAAGTGGAAAGACTTGGCGGAAGTTCCCCGCCAGTTTTTTGGTGGCAGGCGGGGTTCCTGGGTTCCCGGGTTCCTGGTTCCCGGGTTCCGGGTGATTGGTTCCGGGCCGATTTCGGTGCTGGGTTCTGGGTTCCCGGGCTCCCGGGTTCCCGGTCGATCTCCTCAGCGAAAACCCAGACATGCGACGTCCAGATTTTTTTCAGGACGGCGTCCCTGGAAGTCCCGACCCTTTCCCCGGGACCGGTTTTTCATCCTGAGTCGTTTTTTGACGGTCCCGAGGCCCGGCGAGGGCCCCACGAGGCCGAAAACGGCCGAAAACCCGCCGTCCTGATTTTTCTACGACGCGATCATGTCTGGGAACCATCAACTGATTGGGTTTTTCTGTGGTGTAGCGTGTGTCCATGCGACGATTTTTGGCTCTCCAGATCTCCGGGCTGTCGCTGCCCCTCGGGGCGGCGCTGGGCGTGAAGCTGCGGCCCCACGACACGACGATCGCGCGCTGGATCGCCATCGGCGCCAGGGGCAACACAACCCTGACCACCCACCAAACCACCCAGAGATCCAACGTCTTGAAGAAATCAAGACGGAGTTGTTTCGCAAATTTCGGCCCCTAGGGGCCCTCGCCGGGCCTCGGGACCGTCAAAAAACGGCTCAGGATGAAAAACCGGTCCTGGGGAATGGATCGAGGCTTCCGGGGACCGCGCATCGAAAAAATCACGACATCGGATCTCTGGGCACCCCAACCCAACCCGAAGGCCTGAATTTGCCCTCCATTTCCAGGGGGGGGGGGGGGGACGTTGAAAAAACGCATGGAACCCGTACCCCCCCCAACCCGAAATTCGGGTCAAATTCGGGTCTTCGGGTTGGGTTGGGGTGGTCTGGTAGGTAGTCACAAGCACACCGCTGCCGCCACCACAGGGGAGGGCGAGTCGACCAGCGTTGCATGTTTGATCGCTCTGAGCGTTTCCGCCCAGCTTCGGTCCCGGGAGCCATCTCAGGTCGAGCTGGCTCGAAGCACGCCGCAGAAAGAGGGGATCCGGGGACCCGGTCTTGATTGTGAAAGCCTGACGGTCGGTGCCGCCGACCCTGAAGGACATCGACAACGACCAGGAGGGGGAGGACGAGGAGAAGGAGGAGGAGGAGGAGGAGGAGGAGGAGGCGGAGATAAGGAGGAGGAGGAGGAGGAGGTGGAGGAGGAGGAGGAGGAGGAGGACTCCCCCCTGGGACTCGAAAGACGCCGGAGCAAGATGGGATCCAGGGGTCCGGTCTCGATGGTCCCGCGACGCTGCAGCTATTCGAAGGCTGTGGCGAATCCAGCCGTGGCGACCCCAGACAGATCCGACGCTGTGAGCTTTTGTCCCGACCTCTCGCCCCGGGGGGCAGCTTGGCGCCCCAGAGCCGAACGTTTCTGCTGGCCCCGGGGCCATGGTCGGCCGGGGCTAGCACAAGGGTAGATACCCAGACCCCCTCGCGCTGCGAAACAATCACGACGGGAGGTTTTTCGCTATTTTGGCCTCCCGGCGGCCCTCTCCGGGCCTCGGGACCGTCCAAAAACGACTCAGGACGAAAAACTGGCCCCAGGCAGACCTCTGTGGGTCGACGTTGTGAAAAAATCCCGACGTCGGGGGTCTGGGTACGTTCCAGGGCGTTCCGGGACGCTCTGAGAGCATCCCGTTCCTCAGATGCACCAGTTTCGAGTCACGAAAATGTGTGACATTAAATCATAGACAAAAATACGATGTATAGCATGCATGCACCATTGTACATACTTTGAATATTTCGATTCTGCCCTTTATATCAGGTTTATCGATGGTGATTTGTCGAAATGCTCTGCGAAGGTCGCGGCTCCCGAGGCATGCAGAGCCGCTGGATCTCAGAGAGCCCCGAGATCCGACGTAGCAAAAAAAAATTGCAGCACCGTGAAAATCCGCGCCCAGAGCCCCGGACCCTATCTTCCTGCGTCATTTTTCGGGCCGGATCGATCTACCCAGACCCCCTCGAGTAATGAAAAAATCATGACGGGAGGTTTTTCGCCATTTTCGGCCTCCGGGGGCCCTCACCGGGCTTCGGGACCGTCAAAAAACGACTCAGAACGAAAAACCGGTCCCGGGGAAGGGGTCTGGACCTCTGGGGGTCGCGTCATGAAAAAATCATGACGTCGGGGGTCTGGGTATGAGGGTCCCGGGACCCGACAAAAAGGCGACAACGCCCGGCTCGAAAAATTTGAGTCGCCAGGATCTCATGGAGGTCCTCGAGTCGTCCTCGCCCGAGTGCATCCTCGCCCCGGCTTCGTCTCAGTCCCGACCTCTTCCCTGGGGGCAGCTCTTCGCCCCGGAGCCGTTCCCTAGAAGACGCATCTGAAAATCTATTTTGGTTGCTCATTTCCCCAGCGGTAGCTGCTTTCGGAAGGACCGCATGGTATCTAAAATTCCTCCCTGAGTCAGATGTGTTGTACAGCGCTTTCGTACAGAAAATTAGATACCAATAGATATGTTTCAAAGATAGATGCGTTTAGATACGATGTCTTACTTTTTTAAAATACGGGAGGTATGTCTCCTTCCAAATATTAGAGACGGGGTCATGGTTAGATACGAATAGATATGTCTATATATGTTTGATTGCAGTGATTCCTCGACGCGCGGGGGCTCTGGCTTCAAAGCTCTCATTCACCGGGCGCCCTCGCGCGCCCGTCCCTCCCGCGCACCTTCCAGTGGATGCTCGCCTCGCTCCTGGCTGCGGCGGCGCCCTGCGTGCACCTGACCCCTTGCGGGGCCGGCACCTTGCCGGCCGGCGTGCCCTGACTCCTGATCCGCCATACTTTGGGCGATTTCGAAAGTAGGGCGGAAATTTCCGCCCTACTTTCGAGGCCCCTTTGAGCGTCGATTTCCGCCCTTGAGGCTCCTTTGGCGTCGATTTCCGATACAATTTTAGGTCGGAAAATCATCCAAAGTACGGCGGATCAGGAGCCAGGGTGGCCCCTGGCGCGGGCCCCGCGACCCGGGACGTGGGTACGCAGCTGCCTGCGCCGCTTCGCCTCGGAGGACGAGGCAATCGCGGGCTACCCTGCCGAGGCTGACCGCCACGGCGCCCCAGTGCCGCCCCCCCTCCACCGCGGGGGAAGATGGCTCAGGAGGAGAACGCGTTCGACACTGGCGAGGAGGAGGTCGAGGACCTGGGCGCCTGGTTTGGGCATGCCACGCCCCAGAACGTGGCGGCCACGTCCCTGCTGCCCGCCCCTGCTGCTGGAGGGATCGCTGGGGAGTTCGGGCTCCTCATTCTGAAGGACAGCGTCGACTCGGATTACGAGGTCACGGTGGCGGCGTTGCGAGTGCGGGCCGACGCCCTCTCGACCGTGGCGGTGGTGCCCTCGGGTCAGCTCGACACTGCCTACGAAGCCATGCATCTGCCAGCCTGGGATCGCGTCGGGTCGCCTTTGGACGGCCAGCTGCTCTCGGCCGAGATCATGGAGACCCCGAGCGCCTTGGTGAGGCGCTTCGCCTCCGCGCCCCCCGCCGATGGCGAGGTCTACGCCTTCCACGACGATGGCTGGTGGCCCGACCCCGAGGCTGCCGTGAACGCGGTCCCCGCCGAGATGCTGACCACTCTGGACTCCCTGCGGGGCGCTGGCGAGCCCGCGCTCGAGGCGACAGGCGCACCTCAGGAGATGGGGCCGGCGTCGTCCGCCTTCGGACCGCAGCTCCGCCCCCCTCTGGTGCCCGGGCTGCAGCCAGTGGCCGCAGGGGCCGGGTTCGGCGCGTGGTCTTCCGGGGAGGCCTCTCCGCTCCCTCCAGCCGCCACGACGCCTCCGAGCGAGTTGGAGCAGTCGCAGCTTGGTGCGGTCGAAGAGTTGAGGAGCCTGGCCGCGGAGGTGGCGGAGCTCAAGCGGCAGCGGGCAGCCTTGCACGCGCAGCCAGCTGCGCCGCCCGCCGCCCCGAAGGCTCCGACCCGGAAGGCCGCCGCCAGGAAGGCGCCGCAGCAGCGGCAGCAGGTCCTGGAGCAGATCTTGGCTGGGCAGAGTGCGCTCTTGGGGAGGATCGCAGCCTTGGAGGCCAGCGCAGGGCCAGCTCGGAAGGCGGCGGCCCCTCCAGACTGGCGCCTGCCTCAGGCGGCCAGCATGGCCCCGCCCTTCGGATTCCTCGGCCCTCCTCCCCTCGGCGGTCCTCCGCCGGCGGCTCTCGGAGGCGGGGTTCTAGCCCCTCAGGGCCTGCCCGCCGCGCGCGCCGCTGCTGCCGCCGCCGGACCTCCTCCGCCTCGCCGGGGAGGTGCGGCGAACCCGTTCCTGCAGCGGCCCCTCTCCGGCCAGGCGACCGCGGGCCCCCCAGGCTTTGCTCCGACGCAGGGCCCTCCGCCCCCGCCCCCACGCGGCCCAGTCCTTCCTCCTGCGAGCCAGACCGCAGAGCCCCAGCCCCCCGTGGCTCTCACAGGAGCCGGCGGCCGCGAAGAGCAGCTGATGGCCTTGTTGGCCCGGCAGGCGTCACTGATGGGGGCCTTGGCTCAGAGCGGCGGTCGCCAGCCCGACGCGCTGTCGCTCCTCGCGGACGGCGGGCGCGACGAGGGGCTTGGCGAGAGCTCTGGCATGCGACTTGGCGGCGCGCGCGGCGCCGCCGCCCTGGAGCTGTTCCGACGCCAGGTCCAGAGCAGCCCCCAGGCCGTCTCCGCCCTGGTCAGGCGGAATCGCCAGCTCAACATGACGGGTGCTGCGAGCGAGGAGGGCATGAGCGACTCCACGCGGAACTACTTCGCCCGCAACGTCCCGTTCGGGCAGGCGAGGTCGTCGGCCTTCCTGGTGTTCGGCATGGCGGAGGTGTTCGACCTGATGGAGCGCGCCTTGTGGCGCGCCGCCGAGGCTCAGCTGGCGCTCCTCCTCTGCGCGTCGGAGCAGGCGGCCCTGAGGGAATGGCGCTGGACGTCAGCCTGGCTGCTGACTCACCTGCCCGAGCCGCCCTGGACTTCGATCCGCCAGGCGCCGGCCCGCGGGCAGATCCGCCCCATGTCCCGCTTGGCCTCGCCCGAGTGGGTCGCTGCAGCGATCGGCTACACCAAGGACACGCTGGCCCTCGAGGGCGCGGAGCGGAAGCTTGCGCCGGCCGCGGCACCGAGGGCCGAGGAGGGCGGGGGAAAGGGGGGGGGCTCGAAGCGCCACGGCAAGGCCGCTGGCGCGCCCCCTCACGAGTGAGAGCGGGGCTCCATGGGCTGGCTGGCCCGGGAGCTCTGCACGACGCTGCCCCAGCCTCTCTGCCGCGCGGACGCGCGGGGGACCGCAGGAGGCTGGTGGGCGGCAGCAATTCACTGGACGTGGGCATTCGCTGGGGCTTTGGCCTGATCCGCCGCCTGCGCGGGCTCCGCGCGGCCTTCGGCGCCTTCGTCCGCTCCTCCATGCACGCCGCTGGGTTCCAGGAGGTTGCGACTCCTGCCGCCGGTCTGCTGCCCTGCCCCCCGCCCTTCGGGTGGGCTGCTGGCACCCCCCCGCGGGGCGTGCGCGCTCGCAGGCGATGGCTCCGCACTCACGTCGAGCACATGTGGGTCAACGCCGTCATCCTCGCACTCTCCCACCTGCACCTGGGCGAGTCGCGGAGCTGCCCGCCGCGCGCCCGCGCTGGGAGGCCTCTCAGTTCGTCTCAGTCCGAGATGGTGTCCAGGCTGAGTAGGCTAGTGCGACCGATGTGCCGGCCCCTGCAATGGCAAGGTGGCCGCGTGGAGAAGGCCGACGCTCTGCTCGACTATCTCCTGCGTGCGATGCATCTCCCCGTGGGCGCTGTGGCGCCCTCTCCCGACTGCGAGATGATGACCATTGACCCGAGCAAGGCCCCCTTCGCCAAGGCCGAGTGCCATTTTGACCCCCTGGCGTTCATGGCCCCGTTTGCCGCCGCCACGTTCTTGGAGCCGCGGCTGCTGGCGCGGGATGGGCCGGGCGCAGGAGCGGGCCCGCCAGGCGGGCAAGCCGGGCGACCTCCTCGAGCACCTGAAGCAATGGGACGACGTGGGGCGACTGGAGCTGGTCGACGCGGCCGACTCCCCGCAGGCCCTGCGAGGCACCCTGTTTCCCGTGTTCAAGGACGCCAGCACGCAGAGGGTCGTCTTCAATCGCATCGCTCGCAATTCGTCTGAGTTGCCACTGGGTGGCTTCTCCAGGCTGACCCCGAGCGCCGCCGTGCTGGTGGACCTGGAGGTGCCGGCTGGTTCCGTCCTTCGCGTCTGGGCGGACGACCTCCAGGACTTCTACCCCGCCTTTGACTGCACCTACGACATGGCTTGCACCAACGACGTGGCGCTCCCCCTCCCGACGAGGCTCTACGAGGGTTTCGCAGCGCTGGGCCGGCTTCGGAAGCGCTGCCGTCGTGAGGGCCGCGAGCTCCCCGAGAAAGTGGTTCCCTGCCACGGCGGCCTGATCATGGGGGGCCTGAACGCGCCCGACTGGGCGTGCGAGCCCCACATGCGACTGCTCGCCCAAGCCGGCAGCTTCCCCCCAGAGCGGCGGGTGCTGAACCGCCACCTTGCCCCCGAGGGGTCTGCCTGGGAGGGCGTCGTGCTGGGCGACCACTTCGGCCTGGCTGTCGACGATCCGGGCTCGCGGGAAGCTCGGCGAGCTATCGAGGAGTCCTTCGCCCGCGCGCGCGAGGGCTATGCGAAGGCGGGCCTCAGGGTCAGCGCTGGCAAGGAGGTGAAGGACGCGGCGGAGGCGACGGTCATCGGGGCAGAGCTCCTGGGTCATGACCGGCTCGTCGGCGCCTCCCGCGCCCGCAGGCTGGCGCTGGCCTGGATGGGCCTGTCCATGGCTCGGGGCCGACGCTCCACTACGCTGGGACTGCAGAGATTCCTTGGCATGGGGCTCTTCGCCGCGCTGTTCCGGCGGCCGACCCTGTCGCTTCTCCACCACTGCTACAAGGAGGTCGACGTCGACCGCAACCCGCACGATGTGTTCGACCTGAGCAGCGCGGCCTGCAACGAGTGCGCCCTGTTCGCAGTCCTCGCCCCGCTGATGGCCACCGACCTCTCCGCGGGCTGGGGCCCGCAGGTTCTGGCCTCGGACGCCTCGCACCTGGCCGGAGCGTCCGTCAAGACGCCGGCCTCAGCGCCCACCGCCAGAGCGTTCTGGCGCCAGCGCGAGCAGCGAGGCGCTCGCACGTGGCTGCACCCCTCAGGCTGGGCTGCCATGGCCAACCCCGAGGACGGCGCCGTCCTGCAGGACCTGGAGGAGGATGCCGCACCTCCCCCTGGCATTGTCGACCCGACGGCCTCGCTCATCGAGTACTTTGACGTGCTGGAGCTCTGCTGCGGGGAGGAGGCGCGCCTCATGGGGTACCTCTCGGGCCGGGGCCTGCGCACAGGCCCGAGGATAGACATCAAGTGCCACAAGTACGGGGACCTGGTCGACTCGCGCCTAGCGGAGTGGATAGCATGGCTGATCTGGCAGAGGCGCGTCAAGATGACCATATCATAGGTTCCGTGCACCAGCTTCTCGATCGCGAGGCACCCGAGGCTCAGGTCCAGGATGCGGCCTTGGGGATTCGACCCATCCTCGACCCCGACGCATCTGGGGAACGTCCTCTTCAGGGTGGGCATGCTGGCGCTTCTGCCCACCTGATCTCTGGCCACGGGACCGGTTTGCACGAGCATCCCCTGACGGCCTACTCCTGGCGCACGCACATCGTCGAGTTCTTGCTGACGCACAAGGCCGTGGACCGCTTCGACCTCTCGATGTGCCAGTTCGGCGCGCCTTGGAAGAAAGACACTAGCCTCCTGGTGGTGCGGGGCTCCTGGCTGGCGCCTATGGCGAGGCGCTGTCGTGGAGGGCACAAGCGCACCGTCTTGGAGGGCGGCCTGACTCCCAAGGCCGCGCTCTACCCGCACGGCTTCTGTGACGAGCTGTCCAAGCTGATCGCCGACACCCTGGACGGGCCGACCCCGCCACCCCCGGCGGAAAGTTCGGCGCCCGCTGGAGCGTTCGAGGCCTTCTGGCTGAACGACTACGTCGGCTTCGCTCCCTGGCAGCTGCACTGCCACCGCCTTTTCCGCAAGCCCCTCCACATCAACTTACTGGAGATCGACGCAGCTTGCGACGCGGTGGACGAGCAGGGCCTACGGTTCCCGGATTGCAAGCACAACCTCCTCCTAGACTCCCGCGTCTCGATCGGGGCCATCAGCAAGGGCCGCCCCTCGTCGACTGCGATCAACAAGCTCTTGAGGAGAAGGGCCCCGTTGCAACTGGCCACGGGCTCGTACGTTGGGTGCCACTTTGCGCCGACGCGCCTGCAGCCAGCCGGCGTCCCGTCGCGCACGCTCCGCGACCCGGCGAGCGCTCTGGCCCGCGGGGCCGAGGCCCCGCCGCCCGCTCCGTGCTGGCTGGCCGGCCTCGAGGCCGGGGGCGCCTCAGCCTTCCGCGCTTGGGCGGCGCTCCCGCTGCAGCGCCGGCAGCAGTCGCGGTGGGCTTGGCTGGTGGCGTGCCTCTGGTGGCGCGGGCTCCTGCGGCTCGCCCCCCGACCGCGGGTGCGCGACCCCGCGCTGGGCTTCCCGGGCGAGGGCCCGCGCGGCGGAGGCGGCTGGCCTGAGAGGCCCCCCATGGAGGTGAGCAGGGTTTCATCCCCTGGTCAGGTGACGGCCCGGCTCCTCCCGGGCACGGCCAGCCTCCATCAAGGTCGGGCTCGTGGAACCCTGGCACCGGCCTCCTGCGCCGCTGCAGCCTGGCCGGCGCGGCCGCTGGGCCGTCTCTTCGGGCTCCTGGTGCTGCTGCTGCTGCGGGGCCCTGCTGCCGCACCGCGCCCGCCGACCGCCCGCCCCGCTGGGGTGGACTTGACGGCCGCGCGCGGCCTGACGCCAGTGGTCCAGGAGCGCCGTGCTGCCCTCGTCTCGCAGCTCCAGCACTGGCCGGCGGGCCACGGCGGGCCCAGCTGGGACCTGTACATCCTGATGGACCCGGCGACGGTGGCGCGCTACCTGGCTATGCACGGCCAGTTCCTGTGCGACACGATGCGGAGCCGCCACGACTACGACGAGACGATCAATGCGGTGGTGGACGCAAATCGTGCCCTCCGACACCGGCTAGACGCTGCGTGGGACATCTCTTTCACGTGGAAGCACCTCACGCCGGGCTCGAACCACCAGGCGATGCCGGAGGCGCTGCTGCTCGCCTCGGTGAGCTTGGCGCTGGCGTGGGGTTGGCGCGACGTCGCCGGCTGCCTGCCCCTCGGCTTCTTCGGGATGATGAGGCCCTTCGAGCTCCTGAGGCTGAGGTTCGGGGACCTCGTGCTCCCCTCGCGGACGTTGGAACGTCTGGAATCGATGTATGTGCACGTGGGTGCGCCCAAAATTAGACGCCTGGGCGCACGCCGCGAGCACATCAGGATAGATGTCCCGCAAGTTGTGTGTTTCTTCGAGGCCCTCTCTCTGCGGTCCTCCCCTCGCGTCCCTCTCATGCATGGTGGTGCCCGTGTTTTCAGATCATGTCTGGATGCCCTCATGGATTTTTCGGAATTAAACATTCAGACAAAGTTGGCATCACCCCCGCGTCCCTCCGTCCGGGAGGGGCCACTTTTTGGTATAGACTCACAGATTCGCCAGACTGGGTTCGCTACAGGGGTAGGTGGCTCTCCAGTAGGATGTTGGAGATTTACATCCAAGAGGTCGGGGCTAGTACGCTCCTCGCGGACCTCCCGAGCCCCCTCCGTAGCAAGGTCCGGCTTTTCGCCGAGGCTGCCGGCGACCTCCTTTTCGAGGCCACCTGGCAGCTTCTGTCTTCGAGTCGTTTGCCGAGGCCGAGCGACGTCGACCCCCGCCCTTCCGGTCGCCGTCCTCGTGTGCCGCCGACGCTGCCAACAGAGCTCTTCGGTGCCCGCTTCGCTCCTCCCTCCTCCGCCCTTCTTCCACCATGAGCGGTTTTGGCTAGTCGAGGCCGGCCCCAACTGAGGCCGCCCTCGAGCTGTCAGATATTTGCAGAGGCAGTGGCGAGCCCGGAAAAGTGCATCGGCCTTGGGTTTAAGAGGAGCTTTTTCAGCAGAGGAAGGGCATCGCTGATTGCAGTGATTCCTCGACGCGCGGGGGCTCTGGCTTCAAGCTCTCCCGTGCCCGCCCACCCTTGGCTAGTCGAGGCCGGCCCCAACTGAGGCCGCCCTCGAGCTGTCAGATGTTTGCAGAGGCAGTGGTGAGCCCGGAAAAGTGCATCGGCCTTGGGTTTAAGAGGAGCTTTTTCAGCAGAGGAAGGGCATCGCTAGATACGGTTCAATATGGCGCCCATCGCTGGAAAACGTGTATACCAAACATATATACGAATAGATACGGCGCCATGTCTGCTGCGCACGCCCACGATCGATCATTCTCGCTCCTCGCTCCTCTTGGATCCTCCTCATCCGCCCTCCTCGGTGCTCATCTTGTCTTCTCTTCTTTCGCCACATACTGAGTGGGTTTCTTTTTCCCCGCATCCTGAGTGGGCTGTTTATTTTCATAGAACACCCTCTCCTGTTCCTTCTCCTCCTTCTCCTTCTCCCGCCTCCCTACTATACCATACCAATGCGTACCATACCAATACCACGCCGACCTACTATACCATACCTACCACACCACACCTACCATACCATACCCACCATACCATACCATACCATACCATACCAAACCTACTATACCATACCATACTTACCATATCATGCCATACTATGCCATACCTACCATATACCATACCTCTCCTCCTCCTCCCCCTCCTCCTCGACTCCTTCTCCTCCTCTTCCTCCTCCTCCTCCTCGACTCCTCGACTCCTCGACTCCTTCTCCTCCTCCTCCTCCTCCTCCTCCTCCTCCTCCTCCTCCTCCTCCTCCTCCTCCTCCTCCTCCTCCTCCTCCTCCTCCTCCTCCTCCTCCTCCTCCTCCTCCTCCTCCTCCTCCTCCTCCTCCTCCTCCTCCTCCTCCTCCTCTTCCTGCTCTCCCATCCTACGGTTCCCTGTTCCTGCCCAGTTCTCTCCTAAATTTCGTTTCGCCGTTGATATCCATCATACTCCTCGTCGTTTTTGTCGTCGTCGCTCGCCTCCTCCCTCGTCATCGCTACGGCATCCCACTATCCTCATCCCATTGTTTATTGCTTTGGCCAATATCATGGATCTTGTTCGTGCTGGGAGCACAGCCAACTGCATTCGTTCTGACACAAGCTAGATACGAATAGATACGGCGCGGCACTGCCATTCTTTGAGAATAGGTGCGAATATATATATATATATATATATATATATATATATATATATGTTATCTTGAAGAAAAACAGCTACGGTCCCAATGTTTTCGATATGCTTGAACAATACACACGTTCAGATACGGAGGCGCTCCCGCGCAGGCAGGGGGCGCGCACCTAAAAATAGTATCTATGTTGTCGTCACTGCAGAAACATAGATACAATGGGCTTCTCGCCTGCGCCAGGGCGCGATCGCATCTAAACGCATCCATTATTTTTAGATACGTCTTGCAGGGTTCCTGCGGGCCCCGGGGCCCTGGAGGCCCCAGCGCGCCCGGCAAGGGCGCGCGCCTTCATCTGGGCTGCCCTTGTCTCCTTGCCTCTGCGGCCCACGTCCCAACTTCGGCCTCCAAGGGTCTCGCGTCCTTCCCAGACCCCTTCGCGTTGTGAAAATTATCCCGGCAAAGCAACCTAACAGCGATGTGTAGGAGCATATCTGGAAGCATTCCCCTTAAGATTCAGATGAGAATCCAGTTGTAGAATTCTGCTGTTCTCGCAGTCGTAGTCGCATTCGCGATGACAGTCGCAGTGGCAACGGCAGTCACAGTCGCAGCCTCAGCCTCAGCCTGCCTCAGCCTCAGCCTCAGCCTCAGCCTCAGCCTGCCTCAGCCTCAGCCTCAGCCTCAGCCTCAGCCTGCCTCAGCCTCAGCCTCAGCCTGCTTCAGCCTCAGCCTCAGCCTCAGCCTGCCTCAGCCTCAGCATCAGCCTGCCTCAGCATTCAAAATGTGGCCCGGGAATGGAGTTCTGGGAACTCGAAGAACACGAAGTGGCCTACAGTTGGCTCCGGGCATTCAAAATCATGCCCAGGAATGGAGTTCTGGGAACTCGAAGACCACGAAGTGGCCTACAGTTGGCTCCGGGCATCCAAAATGTGGCCCGGGAATGGAGTTCTGGGAAGTCGAAGAGCACGAAGTGGCCTACAGTTGGCTCCGGGCATCCAAAATGTGGCCCGGGAATGGAGTTCTGGGAGGTCGAAGAGCACGAAGTGTGTGACTGTTGGCTCCGGTTATTCAAAATGTGGCCCGGGAATGGAGTTCTGGGAGGTCGAAGAGCACGAAGTGTGTGACTGTTGGCTTAAAACGAGCCCGGTTCTGTTCCCGGTTCTCCTCCCCGGCACCCGCCCAGACCCCCCCTGAGGAGTCATGATGCTCTCTTTTGACCTCACTAGAAACCTATCAGCAAACCCTGTTAGGTAAAAACCCGACGCGAGGTTTTTTCTAATTTTCGGCCTCCAGAGGTCCTCGCCGGGCCCTGGGACCGTCAAAATACGAGTCAGAACGAAAAATCGTTCCCTGGGAAGGGGTCCGGACCTCTGGGGGTCGACATTGGTTAAAAAATCGTGACGTCGGGGGTCTGGGCTTGTGTCCTTGCCTCTGCGGCCCACATCCCAACTTCGGCCTCCAAGGGTCTCGCGTCCTTGCCACTCGCAATTGATACATGTTTTGGCTGTGCAGGGGCCCCAGAGGCCGGGCATCGAGGCCGTGCGCCAGGCTTTGGGGCATCACGCCGCCGGCTGGGGCGGGGGCCCCTCCCCAGTGGGCCCAGCAGGGCGGCAGCAAGGGAAGCGCACCGAGACATGATCGCGTCGTTTAAACATCAGGACTGCAGGTTTTCAACCGTTTTCGGCCTCGTGGGGCCCTCGCTGGGCCTCGGGACCGTCAAAAAACGTTTCATGCAATATGAAAAACTTGTCCCGGGGAATGGGTCGGGACTTCTGGGGACGCCGTCTCGAAAAAGTCAAGACGTCGCATGTCTGGGCATGGGTAACGGTCTGTGCGTACGCTGGTCGTTGAAGGTAGGTATTTCTGGGCTCCCAGGTCCCAATCGAGTTCTGGCGCCTTCCTACTTCAAGAACCGATCTGCTCTCACTGCGCGTTGTTATTCTCCGGGAGGGCCTGAGTCCAATCCACTTGATCCGCCTTCCTACTTCATGTTTTTACCTGCTTCTTTCGACCGACGTATATTTTCTGGGGAGTTTTGATGGAATTTCCACCAGAGTTGTGGAATGGCGGACATTTCGGCTTCACTTTTCTGAGGCTGGAATTCCCGCAATACTTGTTTGCGTCTCATCCCATGTGATGCATGTCCGACACCGTTTCATGTCGGAGACTCAAGCGAAGTAGGGCGGATTTGAAGTCAGGGATCTCTCTTTCTCTCGCCCGAGGCGCTGGGGCGCTGCTCTTCGCCGTCAGCGTGGAGCTCTACGGGCACAGCATCCATAGCTTCACTGCGGGGCACACGGAGCTGGTGCCCATGATCATCCTGCTGGTGATCGGCACCCCGCTCGCAAAGCGTACAGAGGGATACGAGACAGGCAAAGCATGTGGACCTCCAACGCAGTGACGGGCAACCCGAAGTGTCTTCCGGCCTCTGGGGGCCCTCGCCAGGCTCCAAGACCGTCAACAAAACGTTTGCGGCTGAGAAACTGGCCCTGGGGGAGGGGTCGGGACTTTTTGTGCGGGGCGGGATGGCGTTGCAGAGGGGGCCGGAGGCTTCCAAGATGGCCTCACTGCCTGCATGGCGTCCTGCAGATTCACCCCCTGACCGCGGTGTGTCAAGAGCCTGCGGCCGTGGCGAGGACACATACACCCTTGAGATCCGATGTTGCGAGCAACAGGCCTCCGTGTATCAATACGTAAGTGCATCCCCCTTGAACTTAACTTCCGACGTCTCGTGTCATTTTGGCTCGGGCGCTCGGCCGTTTCAAACAACGGGCGGGCGCTGATGCTGGCCCCTGGGCCGTGCGCCCTCGACGCCGCGCGGCGGCGGGTCAGCGATGTGCTGCATGGCTGCGGCCTCCTCGGCGCGCGCCTGGCGCCGCAGGCGGGCGAGCTCGCGTTCGAGGGGACGCTCGAGCACGTGGCGGCGCCCGCGGGCCACAGCGTGGAGGAGGCCCGAGCGCCGCTGGGGGAACTCGCCGCCTGGGCGGTGGGCGAGGAACCACCCCAGAAGCGGCGACGGGTGCTCGACGGCCGCCCCGCGCAGGCCATGCTGGAGGACGCCGTGGCGACGAGCCTCGTGGCCGCGTGCGCGCTGGAGCGGGGCGCGAGGCCGCCC